TTGGTGCACAAACTTTCATTGAATAATTACAGCACTAACTCGGTGTACACTGCAGTGAACCTTATGTCTGTGTTCAGACTGGCTTCAAAGTATCTCCATGCAACGAATGAGTAATTTGCACTCTAGTAATTTAATAGCTCTATGAGTTTTTACATTCTGAGACATTTCAAGGGCAGATTTAAGGACTCTGAATCAAAGATTTTGGACCCATTTTTCACAACGGTAATCGGAAGTGGAAGGGGTGAGTACAGACTACCGGTACCTATAACCTAGATATACCACTGTTTGAAAATAACTGTCACATCAGTGTGCATCATCTAACTGGAATTAAGTTAAGGCACTAACTATTCTGAGTAACTTATCTACAGACATTTCCTACCTGGCACAAACTTAACTCCAATCCACCAACTGAATGGCATTAATGCATGATGAAACACATGCAGAAAGGAAATCTGGTTGTTCTTCTTCCTCAGAATGAAGAAAACCTGAAACAAACGTGTCATAAGAATAAATTTCAAAGCAACTCTATACTAAGACACTCATATTAGTTACAGTAAATTAAAGGGACCACAAAATAGAAATATTTTACTAACTTGTACTAAAGCCCTTGAAATTGCTCCTCCCTGATTTCAAAGTTTTACAATTTTAACCCATTTTTGGGAGCTTTTTTGGTTTTTATGCTAATGCAATTTGCATATTTATGAGCAAAACTATAATGTCATCTGTAGGCATTGAGCCTCAATGTTGCATTGATTTGTGTCCAAAAATGTCTCGATTTTTTTAAACAATGCTATCATATATTTCAGCTCCTTTGGCAATTTAGTGTTGTGTAAGTCCACTCATAGCAATAAGCAAGCAAGCAACCTTTTCACAGAAATGTTTTCAGACAGCAAATTCAGAGTTCACAATTTGAACATTAAAACATACAAACTGAACATGTCTTCCTTGATTTACATCAAAGGAAAAGCACCCTCACTTGTCCAGAAATGTTTAGTCAATTTTGAATATTTAAAACGTGCCCTTTTCAGTTCACAAAACTCAAAAAATGTCAAACAGTCTTCATATATTTAAGAAGAGCACAGAGATACAAAAATGGTGATTCTAAAAAAATTCATTTCATGGATCCTATAAAGACAGAAAAATCTGTGAGAACTTTAAAAGATGAAGGAATTTATGCATTCTTAATGTAATAGTTTTGACAGTATTCTTGACATGCTTTTGCAAAGACAGATGAGAACATTGTTCAGCAAGGTACATGTATGTACATTAAAACGGTCCTCCTAAAAAGGATGCACGTTGGTAGTACAGTGTGCTGCAATACTATAAAATGACATACATGTGTAAAAAAGAATGCAAAACTTGGCTTGGATCTTATGGCTTGGGTGGTAAAATGAGTGTGAAGGCTTCGTGAATAGTTACAGGGCGACAATCTTGTTCTCTGAGGTTGTCATTTTTGTTTCATATTATTTTCCTGCACAAAATGGTCATATCAGAAAAATAAATCAGTTCGCTTTCCAGATTTGTGGCATTGTACTACATGTATGTTTCATTAATTAAGATAATGAGTTTAAAGTGCTGGTAAGATCAACACTGGTTGCTAGTTGGTTCACAAAACTAAATAATATGACAAAGTACGAATGCATACATGTACATGCATGTATGTACATGTACATGTATGTCATGTAAATTGACCCTGATGAAAACATCTCCTTTAAAACTACAGGCATATGTATCAGAACAGCCTAGGCTGACAGTCTTTAACATAAAATGGAATGGTGTCGAATGTACCAACAACTTACCGTGTCTAGCATTTCAACAAACTTGGAAACATAGAAGACCCAACACACATTGGCCATCTGTCAATACATGAAATACAGCAAAATTGAGTTCAAGTCTGACATTTTAAACAAACATTTACAAATGTTCCAGTTAAAGAATATTTATGGCCAATATTTCCTTTCAGGAAATACCCTGGACAAAAGGAATGCAAATCATTGACTGCTAGCCTTTGCTTTACCAAATTAATGGCTATAATTTGGTGGCTATTTGGTCAGTGCAGACCATTCTTTTGTTTACAAACACTGACCACCATTTTGTATGGCTAGCCAAAGCATGCAAAATTAATACCTTTGTAATTAATAATTAATTAATACCTTGGTTAACAACAAGTTTTGCTTCAAAATGCACATGACTTTCAAAACAGGAGGCATTTCCATTTAGTTTGTGTGAACATTTACGTGTACATGAAGCATTTCCATAATTTATGGATATAATGTTTGAGCCAGGGTTCTTACCACTTTGCCAATTATTTTTTGGTTTAGCACTCATGGTCAGTTAATTTTTCTTTTTACCACAACTTGGCAAAATCTTCATCTGTGGTGTAGCAAAAGAAAGGTCTACAGAGGTTGTGTGTGGCAATCATTTTAGTAGTAGTGATGAGGTATAATTGTCTACCACTGTCTTCAGGTACATGTGCCATGGTATACCTCCTTACCCTCAGGGCTTTGGGATTCATTGAGTAGTCTACTAGTTGACATCCTAGTGTATACCCAGTCAGCCATCCACTCATACAAAACTGCAATGAAGTGACAAATAAAATTCTGACATACATGTACCTGAAGCCACACTCATCTATTGATTTAAATATCTATTACTGCAATCACAATTAACTACATGTTAAGTTTAATTTAGTGATGAGGAAACTTTCCTAATGAGTACATACAAGTGGTACAGTCGACTCTCTTTATTACGAAATCTGTGGGACCAAGTGAAAATATTTTCCATTTTTCCGCCCATGCCACACCTATTAGTAAATATTTACCACAGCCGTTAATAGAGAAATACCAAAGGGTAATTCCAGAAATAAGGGGTCCAAAAGTGTGACATTTTTGTGTCCCTGTTACATCTGACCTTTGTTCTTTGACATGGAAATATCAACGGAATTTCAAACTATTCCTATTTGTTTGGCAGGTAATTTTCATTCATTCATCACTCTTGGAAATTAGAAAATGTGTTCTGAACTTATAAAATAATATGTCAGATGCAACAGGAAAAAAATGGACCCCTAATATCTGGAATTACCAATATAAAAACCTTATATTACTTTCATCATTTATTTCAGAATTTGGAAGCGACATGGAAATAACAGTACTGTGACATTTAATGATGCTAAAGCAAAATACCCTGACAAGTCAAAGATATGTGGGATGCCTTTGCGTACAGGGAAGAGGGATCTGAAAAGTTGGCATTTGATGCGTTTGGTACGTACATGTACTTTGTGGACGGCCCCTATGCAGAGTGCAGTGCACTGGCTTCCAGTCTCAGGTTCACCACATGTGCATGCAGTACATGTATGTAAACATGCATGTAATTCATCAAATATGTAGTGTGAAGTTTTAAAAATTAAACTGAATGTTATTTGGAAAAAAAACAAACAAAATGTTCATATAAGGCAAATGGAATAAAAACTCCAAGATGGCTGATCGTAATTTATGACTTAGGGCGAAGTCAACATAACAATGCGAGAGAATGCCAAGACTAACGATTGACTGGTAAGTAATTTTCCTACACAAATTGTATCACAAAGAGCTAATTTATTGCCTGTTTATTTTGTAATGTTCAGAATGTGACCCCAGTTTTCTTTTGGGCAAATGGCAATGTTGGAAAGTTTAAATGATGATGAAAAACAGTGAGTGAATGGTTGTCAGTGGTTCCGTATTTACAGGTACATTAAGCGCCCTATGACAATTTTGTGAGTGTGATGTACATGTAATGATCTCTATGGTGTACATGTACATGTACTTGTATGTACTTCATGATTGGAGAGTTGCATCTAGCAAAGCAAAGGTCATACACACACATAAGCTCACCCACACTTACCTTACATATACATGTATATAGTGTGGACATGCCTTTCTTTTCTGCAATTACAAAAACTCAGTGAAAATGCTCGTTTATCTTGAACTGGGAACACGATTTTCAGCTGGCTTTTAGTACACGGTTTCCTTGACTATCCCTCTTCCTTTTATGACAGATGACCCAACCCCAAAATGCCTCTAAACCCATTTTTCAGTGAAGGGTAAACGTCCTGTGGACATGTGTAAGTCCACAGAATGTCTTCCTTTCCTGCATCGTGTGAACATCTTTTGTTCACAAGTCCACACTAGGTATGTAAGGTTAGTGCATTAGCAGGCGTGCACCAGTTCACTTATCCAAAATCCATAGCAATATGAATAATTTAGTGTTTGGGTGATTAGATCCTTACAGGTTCCTAACTTCGGGATTAATTATGATTTTAACCATTTTGTAAGCTTGGGAGCTGGAGTGAAAGAACTTTTTTCTGAGACTACTGAAGAGGTTTAATTTAGCACATTTTTATTTCATAGTACTTAAATTCTTTTAACAGAACAGGTTAAGGTTTGGGGATTGTTTGGTAATCTTGGTCTTTCTTTTTAAAGTTACATGAATCTGAATAGGTGAATGGGGTTGGGGATTCAATGGCCACATTTTTTCAGACATTTGAAACTGGCAAAAGCCCTTGTAAAATCAATCATTTCTTTTAAATGATTTCCCTTCAGTGATGTGCACATGGGATGGATGATTGAAAAGCATCACCAGGGCGGTGCATTTGATAACTGGCCATGGTGGTTACCAGGGTAGACAATCAGTAACTGTGCACAGTACAATAATAATTGGGCGGAGATTAAACAACTGATGGACACAAATTGATGACTAACTCTGCTTGCAATTATGTGATCCAGGATCTTATAAACACTTGTTGTCTGGAACATGCAAGTGGGTCGCCAGCAATGCTTTTTAACACAGTGGAGTCACAAAAGCCTTTTTGTTGTAAAAGAAATTTTGCACTCTGCGATTTCATCATAACAGATTTTCTCCCAATAGGAATGTGCATATTTTTGCCAGGACCAACAATGTACGCTATTTACATGTACAACTGGAATTTTGCCACAACTGAGTTTGTAATGACGAGAGTCGACTGTACTTTTATTCTAATGGATGGCTGGCACAGCAGCTGATGGCAAGGTTTCTCCAAGTGACTATACCTTGGCTACATCACAGATCTCCTTAGGTACATGTACACGTACAAGGACATCATCTTTGGAAAGGATTCTAGTTATATACTGTGAGTGAAAGAACAGGTACATGTAGGTTTGCTTTCCCTAGGCGGCACATAAGTTGACATCCCTACCTTTTGGTTTTCTGAGCACATGTTCAAGCCTTGTTACACATATTGCTCCTTGTGCGGTAGGTCGTGATACAAATTTAGGATGATAGAAATTCAGTGAAACAAATTACAACCACATGAACGTTTCCTCAAAACCATAAGATCAACCTCACAATCTGAAATACCAATAATGAAATCTACATACACCAAACACAGTAAATCTTTGTCTTCCAAGGAAAGACCACAACCACTGAAAACCTCACCTCCCATAATGTATAGAAGGACAGGACAACCATTATGAAGTTGAAGACCAGTAGGACAGATTTTAGGTTGTAAGGTGCTCTGTTCTTCATCAGCTTAGGGCCAATCCAAACCACAATGAGATAGAGAATGACCATAGTGGTACCTGGGATTGGGGTTTGCATGAGGGGCCAGTCAGCCACCCGAGGATCTACAGAAACAAGAATGATAACATACAACAACTTGAGTCCTGATGGGTAAATGATTCAACTCAACTCGAGTCACTGCGCAAAAATGTCCAATTCGAGTTCCTCATTAGAAGACCCAACAAGAGTGTGTTGTAAATAATCATCAAGAGTGATGTGACGACATGTAAAAACCCAGAGGTACATGTAAATTTTAAAATGAAAAAAATGACTGTCTTGTTGCAAGGTTTTGTACTAAGATATTGGTGACTTGACTCAAGCTTTTTGCCTGACTCGAATGAACGACTATGTTAAAAGGACTTGATTTGAATCACAAAAATTTGTGACTCACTACAACTCTGCAGAAAATCCTGTTCAGATGGCCAGTGAAATGTAAAACTTACATTTTGATCACATGAATGGGTCAGTGCATACATAAATGACCTCTGTTTCCTATGCGGGTGCCCTTACATTACATGTAGGACATCAGAGATGCACAATGGATGACTTCACAACATACACAAACAGATTTTTGACCAATTTCACCTTACCCTAAGCCAAATTCAGTGTCAGGTAATGATAAGAAGGTATAAAATCAGAGGAGGCCCTTGGTAAGATTAGAAGACATGCCACTGCAGGTCAAGTGACTGAGGGACATTTCACAGGTTGCAAGAGTACTGTAGAAAAACTGGGATGGGCAGTTAACAAGAATTTGCAGTAACTTTTACAATTTTTAGTCCAATGCAAACATGGCTTAAGTGATCAGAAGATACTGTTTTAAAAATATGACAGTTGCAGGTGAGTCAAGTCAGATGCCTTACATTGAAGGCAGTGGGTATCCAGTTCACTGTGTTTGGTATGTATCTGAAACATGCATTAGTATGTCCACTGATGAATCTGTTTGGCACGTCATGCAACAATAGTGAAGCTATCGTGTTGCAATGATGAGGCCAATTCATACCTGACACAATGCACATGTGAAGCAACTTTGATATGAAAAAGCAATTTATGGAATGTGTATAACTTTTGTAGAATCGCAACATGAAGAATGAAGCACGTACGTGTAGGTGCAGTGTATCTTTCTACAAAAGATGCCCTCAAGGGAGCAGAATTTAGATGGACAGGTTCTGGATGCAACAGAGCAAAAATTACATCACTGAGAGATGGGAAGTTGGGAACCAGTCCATTAATTAGGCCACATGTACAAGTATTCTTCATGCGTCTGACTGTGATGTTAATGCATGTGTTGTTTTTTGTGGCATGTGTGGCTGCTATTTACTACAATACTGAAGTATTAATAACGGGAAAAAAATTGATGTACATACGTGTACAAAATATCTTTGAACATGCTAAATGATCAGAAGTCTGGTAAAGTAGAAGTGGATAACCGGAAAAAATCCAGGTATTGAAAAAAATTAGCGCAACAGCAAAAATGTTGCAGGCCAGCCAAACTTAAGTGGGATGGCATAGTATTTTGACAGGACAGCCTGCCCTGCTAAAACCCCTCACAGGGAGAACCCGAATTCAGAGGTGATGTAGTTTTTAATGAAAGTTGAAGCAGAGGAAAATCAGGTGAAACTCAGGTTTATCCTTGAAACATACCCGCATTATCCTCAATGAGTTTATCGAGCCACTGCACAGCAGCTGCCATTTTTGAGGTCTCTCTCTGTCAGCCCTGCAAATTATAATGCGACACAAAACAAGAATGAGACAGTGAGTATAACTGGTCAACAACTATTGGTTAATAATCTGTGACAAGTGAGGGTGTCACGCCTATGCAAACTCATCTTAACTTTGAATGAGCTTAGTGGAACTTCTTATTTCCACTTTGAAATATTTGTCTGAGACCCATGTCAACTCCGATCTGAAGCCAACTCGGATTCACGCCAATTCAGACCCAAAACCAAGTCGGGCCCACGGCCAATTCGGACCCATAGCCAACTCTGACCCACCCTAAACCAACTTGAACCCAACACAAGGAATGTTTTGTTTATGCGTGATTGATTGTTGTTAATGTATTCTCACATGGCATGGACTTCCCTAACAGCATTTCTTTTTTTTCCTGTATTTTATTTAACCCTAATACTGTCTTTTAATTTTTAAAGTTTATCAAAGTCAGAAAAACTGAAGTCATAGTCCAGATTTCGTTTATCTTAGTTCGTTGGTTTGTATAAAATTATCATTAAAAAATAAGTTACAGTGCTGTTTTCAGTTGAAGCCAAATAACCACGTCCCCAGATTTCGCCATTGTGAAATACCATGCAGCCAGCTTGACATGGCCTTGCAGGTGTTTCTTCTGTTGCATGATGAGTCAGATTCGGACTAATTAAAATTTTTTTCACTCTGATCTCAGCAATGGCGATTGGTACCCACTGTAAACCTGCCACAATCAAGGGATGCTGAATGGACTTGGCACCTTTTGTGAGTCAGTGCTGCACTTCATATTACATCCCTTGGTGCTGGTACAAGTAGCACCATGAATGAGTGCGAATAATTAACAGGGTCTTATAGCTTGTTTCAAAACCCAGACATAAGATTGACATCTAAACCTTACCAACAAATGTCAGAAATAAAGTAGTGTTTTCTGAAGCCTAAATAGCCACTAAAGTTTTTGAAATTCTGAATAAACGAAACTTTGTTGCTTGCATGTGTAGGCCCAGGACAAGTATACCATTTCATTTGCATAGACTACGAATCTTGTTTTGTCCGGTTACTGATGTATAATATGCCAAAGATCATATACAATCATTTCACGAATTTGAATGAAACATGAAAGATGAAATGAAACTTTATTCAATACTATCACAAATCGACAACTTTTTTAGAAAAAAAACATGGAAAAAGAAAATTCAAGTTAAACACCTATGAATCGAGTTTGAAAATGTTTGTGGAAAATAATAGGCTTATGACACAAGATTTAGGCCAAAATTTGATAAAGCAAAAAAAAATACTTGGTCTCTGGTCAGACCAAAGTTCCACAATTGATGCAGCAATGCAGGTTTTTAATTTTTTGGGGGAGGGATGGGGTTGGCTTTTTAAGACTGGCAACAGACACGGAAATGAGTGGCATATTTAATCCAAGAGCAAAGGCTAGTAGTAGCACGTTGTACATCATGCCGTAATTGTTACTATCAGGTGGCTGCAACTTGGTAACCTACCCATGGTCTACTGTTCATGTTTGACATCAACATTACGCAGTCATAATGGATCTATCACCGGGTAAGAGCTACCCAAGAATTAGTCTGGTTCCTTGAACAAATTGCCCTTCTGACTTGTGGATTTGTGGCCGAGAATTACACATGTACCGGTAGTCTACTCGCGAACATTCAGATGGTGCAGAAATAGAGGGTGCTGTTTTAAAAATGTTGAGAAAAAAATGGAAAAAATAACATTGACACGCACATTCAACATCGATGTGCATGCTGACCAGAGACTGACTTTTTTTTGTGCTAACAGAGGCGTCCTCAATGTGACACAAAATCAGCAGACTGTTCCCCATGTGCACGGTTCAACATATCTCAGAAAATCCCCAATTAAGGTGTGAGAATGTCTTTAACATTATTAAATTGTGATAAATTATTATCATCTACATGTACACTGCAACTTTGCAGTGGACAGCTAAACCCCGGATTTTTAATTACAGGAATTACAAAATTACAGTTTGATGAAAGTTTGAACTGATCATATTGGTACTTTCCAAAATATTAATATCTAATATATAAATTAACATCTCCCCAATGCAAAAATACATCTTGAAAATAGTTCACGGTACCCGCTGCTTCACCTGACTTGGACCAGCCAGCCGACCCCGGCAAGCTCGGTGGTCGAGTGGTCAAGACATCTGCACTAGTAAGCAGGAGGTTGTGGGTTCAAGTCCCACCCGAGTAAGCTTGTGACTTTTTTCGCAGGCTCTCCGACAAGCACTGAGCATACAGTGTTTATTAANGGCCAGTATTGTGACCTTACACATATACATTGGGTAAGGGCAAAACCTGTTATGTAAATTATCATATTGGTACTGTTTGAATGAATTAATAAGTGGGAAGAAATTGTCTTAGTTGCAAAAACAGAACATTGGAAGAAAGAATATTTGGGATCCAAAAGCAGTCCGTGCTGTGTCCTTGCTCTATGCTGAAAGCCACACTGCTGGGGCTGCCAGCTTTGTGCGTTTCATTTATTATCCAGTGCATTCTCACAACTTTGGTAGGTCCGAGATGGCACGGGTCCAAGTTGGTTTGGGTCCAAGTTGACATGATCACCAATCTACAATGTATCACATACTATCAGTATCTCCCACCCCATCCTTTACATATTTGGGGGTCCGGACAACTTAACCATTTGCCAATACCACTCTGAACAAGTGCACGCAATATACGTCATGCAAACTCCATCTTACTATACGGACATAGCAGAAATCTACGTAACGTAATGGGTTTGTCAACTATGTGGTGCAGGGGAACTATTGTTGATAGCTCACTGTACAGCTGAAAAACACAAGTCAAAATTTAGACAAGATTCACTTTTTAGTTCGTTCGAATTCTCAATTTCATGTATTGACTAATTTTCTCTAAATTAAGAAATTATTCATTAGAAAATCAGCTTTTTACAATTGTTCTGGCTGAAAAATGGATTTGTTGTGTGGTTACTTTTTATTCATGAAAAAGAATTAGTTGTGATCTGGAACTGGGTAAACCAATCCAGAACTGGGAAAAGTGCTGTTGCCACTTTCGTCGATCCTGTACGTCCAAATTAAAACTTAGAATATAAAAATAATTTTGTAGTATCTCCAACCACAACTGACCTCATTTCAGCGCAATTTGAGGATGTTTTATAGATACAATCTGACTGAGTAATTTTCCCGATCCAGAAGTGGGAAAACACTGTATTATGTGTAGACATCTCGCCGGTCAAGTTATCTCCCTGTCAAAGTCAAGCTGTCCAAATGGACAACTTGGCAAATGGTCAAGTTGTCTCAACAGTCAAGTTGTCCGGAGTCAAGTTGGCAAATGGTCAAGTTGTCCGATACCCATGATGTATGTACACATACATTGTACTGTATGCTCTTATATATTATATGAGCATACAGGACAGATACGTGTGTACAGTATGCACACTTGTACACATGTTGTAACACAATTGAAAATTTTAACACTTGGAGGTTTAATTTCTTCAGTAAATTTAAACAACATTTCAAGTTTAAAGACGTGATTCCACATAAAGTTCCGATGCTGATAAATCTCAAGATTGAAATAAAAAGCACAAAAGACGCATGCTAAGTTGCACGTTTTCCTGTTTTAATGCCTTCGCACTTCAAAAGTGCGTTTCGTACTCTACCGGTCATGCCGGTACCAACTACATGTACTACATATGACATGTCTACCCCATGTCTACCCCTAGTTAGCCTATTTACCGAACGGACAACGAACTTACCAATATTTACTTCGTTATACTAGGCGTACCCCTATATTTACCTAAAGTCCTGCCTGGAAAGTGCTAGAAGGAGACCACAGCTGCAGAACAATGCGGGGTAGGTGAGAAGCAGAGGGGCCAGCCGGGTCGGGGCACCAGAACAAGGAAACAGATAGTCGAGTCAGTAACAACATGAACGATCGATCCCGGCCGCGCGCCCCACGTCTGTCACACACGCACGCGCCCGACCCACGGATGTACATGTACATGTACATGTAAGCAGTTGGGATAGGCAGTAGGGACCAGCGCCACTTTGATCATGTTCGCAGAGCTGTGAGTTTCATACCAGTCTTGAGGAGAGACTAGTTACGACATCTCTAGTGCGTAAAAGCCTTCAAATGTTATTCTCGCTTGGTAGCCTTTATTCAAGGAAGATAATCCCCAGCACATGTTTTAAAAAGAAAATTTGCGGTTGGGACCATTAACCTAGGTTCTCCATCTTGCGCCATGTAGCGGCGCTATACGATCTTGGGTTGGGGTTGCAGGAAATGAAAAAATCTGTCATAGTAATAATTTAAAAAAATCGGGGGAAATACTCACGAGTTTCTCAGGCGTTTGGGACACACATCAAATTAAAGACCATTTTATAATTGTTCACTTTCTTTTCAAATTTCCATTCATTAACCGACGACTTTTGAAGATATATTTTTCCACGGAAGGTCCCCTAAAAAGCAGTAGTGAAGCCCCTCGCCATTTTGAAATATCGATGCCTACACTTCTCGAAAAAACACTGAGACCGTTTTCAGGCACCGATTTCTTCCAAATCTCACTCAGACGCAAGCTGGTATTCTTTTTGCTCGCCTAAGCCTGTCTTTCCTACAAACCTTCAAGTTCATGGGTCACAAAATGCTCAGTTTTACACCGTTGTGATTTGGCCCACGCCAGCGTTTTCGGCCTATTTACTGGCCTACAACCTTTAGGACGGTGTGCTCCGAACACTGCAGTTGCTCGAGTTATGTTAAAAATGAAGTCGTCGATTGATTTATCGATTTTTATGGCATGCAAGCGCCCGGCCAACCTTAGCCTAGCCGCGTCCAAAAGTGGCTGTGGCTTGAAGTTACCAACGACTCTCGGGGAGGTGGCCGCATAATTCCATGCTGCAGCAAGTAATTGGAATGCGGCTTGACAAAATCGTATTATCGGTCCCATAGAGATCATAAGCAGTTTATGATTTATATGATCGATCTGCCTACAGGCATATAAAAACATAGACCGCCAGACCGCATTTAAAAACTACATGAACATTTTGTGATCTGTGTGGCGCCCGACTAAAAATCGAACCAATGGGCAAATTTACGCACAGTGCAAGAATTCCATCCATAAATCCCATAATGCTATTTTACGATTGTAAAAAAAGTCCTTTGAGTAGATTCAAAACAATGCGGTTGCATAACTTCTTATAATGCGCTCCGAGTCATTTGATAGCCTTTCCACAATATGAACGACGATGATGAATGACGGTGGAATAATTACCCCGAGGGGCCAAAAAGCACTCGAGGCGAAGCCAAAGGTGCCATTTGCCCCCGAGGGTGTACAAAAACCCATGGACCCACCCCGTCATAGTAGGCAACACTTCTTTTGTTATACCATGGTCGTAGATTACACTAGAACAGTCTTATGTGTAATATATGCATATTTTATTGCAAGAAAAATTAAAGCGCTTTGACAAATTGAACAACGGAAACAGCAAATTAGATACAATATTATACAAGCTATGAAACAATTGATTGTGATGCCCTTTGTTGACCTTTTTTCGTGGGCGGGGGCAGAAATCCAGGATTTGGTTTACTATTCATTAAGCACTGGGGTTTTTCAAGCTGTCGACTGGTTGACTTTCAAGATTGACAAGACTGAAGAGCAGAGAAGAGACAACCACATGAGTGTTTTATATAAACAGCAACGATGATCGCAGCAGAAAAGGTGATCAGAGCATACTTGTGTTCCACGAGCATAAAATAACCCGCGGGTCTCTGGTCAGAGTGTGAAGAGAGTAGCACTTGCGAACGGACGTAGTGCTTCAATGTCCTCATACGGTGCACACCGCTGCCATCCATCCTCGTGGCTCGTACCCAAGATTAAACAATTACAAAGCAGTAGCCAAGACACATCAACTGCGAGAAAGATCACCGTTATCCATCATTTTTTGTTCGCTCGTTACCCAGCGCCCGAACTAGGCGCTCTGGAAAGGGCTGATGTATTTGCACTGTGATTGGCTACATTGTGCATACACGAACTGTGACCGCGAGGTTATCGCGTCCTGTTAGCGAAGCGTTATAAATATCTTTTTAGTTTGCCAATGGCAATGCTTTGGCATTGGCAAAGTGTCGGCGATATGATAAAAACATGGCCTTGGTACAATCACAGTGTGGTATAATTTATCTTCTCATTAAGTACACAGATCACGTGTCTTTTTGCGATACAGGAGGACGCGACTTGTGCATGACTTCTGGCCAGCGCGGCCGGTGAAAACAACCCCAGATGAACGCACTTCTGCCATGCAAAGCAACGTAAAATGCATTTGTTTTCATCTCGCATTGACCTGCGGTCACGGTGAAGTCGCGTCCGCGACTGATATTAATTATTGGTTATCTTGATCAATTTTGGATGAAATAATAAATTGTAGTTAGAATATTTTCAGCAATGAGAAAGAAAATGAAAAAATATGTAGAATTGATAACCGCTGCTTGTGTGTGTAACGCACTGAGCGAGCTCGCGCGCCTGGCTGAAATTTACCCACAATACTTTGCACGTAGTTAGCTGACCCTGTGTGACATATTTCCTTCACTCACTGAAATCTGTGCAAGGCCATTAGCCCTTTCCAACACCCTGTTCGGGCGCTGGGTGACAAGCGATCTTTTTTGTGGCCCGGCAACACGGTGCGCTCGACGCTTGAATGGTACCTGCGTGCTTGTAGCACATCATGTGATCAATTCGCGACAAAAATTCGATATCTATGACCGTGGTATAATAATAATATATAATAATAACATTTATAGAGCGCGTTTTTTCCGAAGGTGACAATGCGCTGGGAAAAAAGCAACTGCAGGAAAGTAAACCAGGTGCTAAGACAAAATTAGTGGGAGCAGATGACCCAAACCTAGAGTGGAAACAGATGAGATTTAAGTTTACATATGGACTGTTGTAGGGAGTTGCGATTACGAATGCTATAAGAGGTAATGAGTTCCAGCATCTGGGTCCAGCAACAGAAAAAGCCCTGTCTCCTACTTTTTTTGAATGTACGTGGTATTTTTAGGTTGTGTTTTGAGCGGAGGTTACTTCGGTTAGGTTTGCTGAGATCAAGAGAGTTGATTATGTATTGAGGATGTGTGCCAGTTAGAGCTTTATATACGTTGACGGCTGTTTTGAAGATGATGCGTTTTTGAACAGGTATACCAGTGTAGTTGTTGTAGAAGTGGTGACGAATAGCAGTGTTTGCGTTGTGTGAATATAATCCGTACAATGTTGTTTTGAAGTTTCTGTAAACGACTAACGTCAGAGTGCTTCATTCCATTAAAAAAAGAGTTGTAGTAGTCAAGTCGTGACAGGACTAAGGTATGGAATCCATATCCGCCGTCGTGCGTCGTCCGTTATTTTTTCTTTGTCTCAATTGCGCAGTGGTATTTTTAACTTTGATCGTTTCACATGTCCATGTACTTGTTCGATCGATCCATCGTGCCTGACTCTCATTTTAGCAGTAGAACTAGAAGATGTATTCGTTTTTGCAGTTGCGCTGAACTCCACTTGAAAGAAAAAATTATATCCTTTCATTTTTAAAGACTGACATCAGTAAAGTGACGTGTATATGAAATAATACCATTTTTGTTACATCGATAACTTAGTTACTCTAGAGATGGGATTTAAAGCTATTCATGGTGACAGACAACTAATGTGGAAAGCTTGCGGTAGAGACGCCCTGGAAATCTCCAAACACCCCACCGTGCCTCAAGACATCGGCTTCTCCATCAGCGACATCAGGCAGC